CCCACCCTGCAGTTAGACCCTGCCCCCGAATTCCAGAAATTCCACAACAACCCAGCGCCTCACTGAACGTGGACCTGCCTCCTCTCCAGAGAGGCCATCAGGTCACCTCTGCTCTGGGTGTTCTGGGTGGGTCCCATCCCTCTTTGCCCCACCAGCACCTCAGGACACAAACCCTGCCAGCTCACCAGGCATCACTGAGCAAATGAGGCAGCACTTGGACACGTGGAGAGTTTGGCGTTTAGTGAAATCAGGGGGATGATTTCACTGAACATTCAGGGGGATGTCAGCCCTCCAAGAGCTGCACCTGCCTCTCTGAGGGTCTTGGCGTCCATCCAGGGCCTGGAGAGTAAGTGTGCAGTGAGAACTGGTTGTCAGGATGAGAGGAGCAGAACTTCCCCAAGGTCAGACATAGCACAAGAGTCCTGCTGAATATCAATACACCTGTCATCAAATAATTATGCTGCATGGGGTTTAGTCATCACAGGATTTCTCATGATGAACCCTAACTTCTTGCAGAGGGAGGGGCTCCTAGGAGGAAACACCCAAATATAGAAACATGATGGCATTCTGGAGACTGGAAACATGGTAAATACCCACTTTGTGCCAAAGTAGGAGAAAGGCTAAATAAAGTTGGCTTGTGTCTCAAAAACTGTTAATGTAACTTACACTGAAAAGAAACTACCCCAAAACATTAAGGCTATTAAAAATAATGGATAGGGGCCAGCCCCGTGGCCTAGCGGTTAACTGCACGCGCCCCACTGCTGGCAGCTTGGGTTCGGATCCTGGGGGTGCACTGATGCATCGCTTGTCAGGCTGTGCTTTGGCGGTGTCCCATATAAAGTGGAGGAAGATGGACACAGATGTTAGTCCAGAGCCGGTCTTCCTCAGCAAAAAAGAGGGCATGGATGTTAGCTCAGGGCTGATCTTCCTCACACACACACAAAAAATAATAATGGATTTAAGAGATACACAGCTTAATTTGCTGAAGAAAATTTATTAATTTACAACATTTTCTGTAAACTCTACTATATAGTTCTGTTTTATTCAATTAACTACAAAATATAGCTGCTTTAAAAAAATCAGGGAATGTGAAGTACAAGAATTTTAAGATTGGGATACATGATGAAGAGTGTTTTTGAGAACTTTGACACTGGGTTCTGCTCTTGTCCTTCCTAATGGAGCCGTTGCCAGCTGTGTTCAGTGGAGACCCGTCCAAAGGGTGTTAGGGTCCCCATCCAGACCCTCAGACTGGCCTGACATCAGACGCTTTCGCCAGTCCTACCAAACGTGGTCTTGGCAGTGCTCTTTTTGTCATAAATTTCCTAAAATATCCAAATTCACACTCTATTTGTAGTTCATATTGGATCTCAGAGCACACCTCCAAGACCTGACGATGTGGCTAACCAGGAACCATCTCAGAACGTCCATCTTCTTGAAGCCACTCTGCATTCTGAGCCCTCTGACTTGCAAAAATGAGGACACGGCTGTGGCCTTTGGTAACAAGACCAGGCCACAACTTCCTGTCTAGGCTTTCCCACTGTATTTTGTTATGCTGGATTAGTGTGTTACATGACCGAGGAATTCCCAGATGCTTCTTAGTGATGTCTTTGGTAACCTGTGCAAAACGAGAGGACTGTTGACACTGTAGCTTGTGTAGAAGTGACCAACTCTCATTGAACACTGGTGAGTCAATGGATCCTGGTGACTGGATCTACACCAATGTGAGGGGTCGGCCCTCAAGAGGTTTAGACAGAACCACAGACGAGGACCCAAGACATGAAATCTTCCTCTTACCTTGTCCTTCAGGTGTCCTGCAAGTCCTTGTGCATCTGAGAGTCAAAGAAGGTACTACTTATGATCAAATAGTGTCTCAGCCCTGGGTGTCCATGTGGACCAGGCCCCGGGTGTCTGCAGAGACCCAGCTCTGTATGTCTGCATAGACCCAGTCCTGACTGTTTGCATAGACCCAGCCTCGAGTGTCTGCATAGCCCCAGCCCTGGGTGTCTGCATAGACCTGAAACTGGGGATGAAGGAGTTAAAATTTCCCTGGATTAGGGTGAAACTGTGCCTGTACCCACAAGGTAATGTGGGAAACAAAATAACTAAAGTTTCTGAGCTTGCCTTGCAGAACAGCAGGAGCACCGCTGATAAGACAGGAACTTACTAACAGCCCCCCACCTGACTAAGCCCCCTGCCTGACTAAGCATCTTGCAGGAGCATTGAGAAGCTAAAATGACTAATTTTACTTCAGATGTCAAAGACTAAAAATCCACTGCATGCAGCACATAGAACAGACAGCCACGCCTGTGCAGAGGACTCTTAGAACTTCAGCTCCCAAGGCCACGTGCTCCCCCGCCCCTACCTGAAACCCCAAATAAAAACCCTTACTTGTAGCTTTTCGGGGAGTTTGGGATTACAGCATGAGCTGCCCATTCTCCTTGCTCAGCGCTTTGCAATAAAATTCCTACTTTCTCCCACTATACCCCGTGTCAGTGATTGGCTTGCTGTGTGACAGGTGAGCTAACTCACTTCAAGTGTAATATTAGACCCGGTCCCAGATGTCTGCATAGACCCAGTCCCAAAGGTCTGCATAGACCCTGCCTTGGGTGTCTGCATCTACAGCAGAGCATTTGTTTTTTTGTAATTAGCCTCACTTCTGTAGCTAGATGCATTCTTGGGCTGGTCTATGTTTAAAAATCCAAGTCATTGTTGGGAAAAGCACAACAAAATAAAAAAAGCAAAAAGATGCTGTAGTCTGTTGGAATAAAAATGGGCTGAGATCTGTAGTAAGGCTTGAAGAATGCATTTTACCCTTCACATTTCCTGAGATTTCCTGTGGGCTCTGATGTTTGCGTTACGCTGCTGGGATGCCCCTGCCCCTGCTGGGCGGGTGGACTCGAGGTGTTTGGTCTGATCCCCAGGCCTGGATTAGCTCCGTGAGCCTCAGTCTGAGAGCAATCTAATCTCCCAGACTTTGGGAATCACTCTCACTTATCCCCTGTGGTCTCTGTTATTGACCGTTCCACATCGATTACATGATGTTGCTTATGTTTGCAAGTCTGTGAGTGTTACTGTGCACTTCAAGTTATTACACACTGACGACAGATAAACATGTTCTTTTGTTTCCTATGAATATGATTAAACTATAACAAGATTTTTGGGGTGGAAAAATGATGTAGGATGTTGTATAAACTTGATTTTCAAAACACCACTTGGAAGATGCAAGGTTTAGCCCATCCAATAGCAACGGATGAGGGCTATGGCACGCGTGTTTCCAGGCTCTTCCTCGTTGCAATGGGGACAAATGGGGAGTACCAGCGAGAGGCTGTCCCCATAAATGGTCAGTTACATCACTCTCCTCCAAGATGAAAAAGACGCTGAACCACAACAAGAGCTGATTGCTCCAGAGTCAACTGCCCTCCTTTCTGATGGAGAGAAAGTGATCTATTACTATTGCTGCTGCTGTTGTTGTCTGTAAACAAGGAATTAACAAACCTCTTAAATTTTGCAAGTCTGAAAAACCTCTTGTTTGGGGAAAAATTGACCCCGTCAGAATGACTTCTATTATGGAAATTGCTACCACATCTCATAAAACAAAACAACTGTTTTCCCAGAACAATGTTTACAGTAATGTCCTCTGGGGGCCTAGCAAAGAGATCGTATGATGTCTCATTGGGTTGAGTGGAAGTTTGCACATCAGAGCACTCATCTTTCATCTCACGGTGTGTCAGTGAGGTGGTGTCAGGGGATGGACACAAAGTCACATCCGCTCATCAGCAGGTGTTGTGGGAAAATGGAAATATTACCCAAGGACAGGAAATCACCATGCTGTGTGAACACTTGGTTGTACAAGCCTGAGATCTACTCTCCGCCTCTCTTACACTCTCAGATATGAGCCATATATCTGTGTAGACAGCACACAGGCTGCCTGTCATCCAGGATGTGGGGGCACTGGAATAGGCATGGCCCCCCTAAGGAGCATCACAGAAATGAACTACACAGGCCATTAATCAGTTTACACTTGGGCAACAGATGGGAGCACTACCTCAGTGTTCCTAAGACACAATCACTGTCTACACAGTCTAGATATAACATGATACTACGACTGAAAGGATTATGCATTCTGAAAAAGGAGGTCTGAAACCTATTAGAAGGCCCCTCCATCCTGAGAAATATGGAGGAGGGAAATCCACAAGTAGAGAGAAACAAGAACAGATGAAGGAAGCACACTCCCTATGGAAGCTAAAAATGAAATGCACCTGACTTGTTCTCTTAACAAAAGGACATGCTGTCCTTCAGTGTCCGATGGGCAGTGGGCTCCTGGGGAGTTCAGATGCCCCCTAGGAGGCAAATGTGTTTCCACCTTCAGCACTTGTGCAGAAGGTTGGGGTGAGATGTCTCTGCACATCATCATTCATCAGTTCACTCTGTGAGCAGCCACGACCCGCTACCGGGCTGGAGATGCAGCAGGACGAAGGCCCTGCCCTGTGTGTTGGGCATTCTGCTGTGAGAGTGACTATCAACATTATGAATAAATAATTTATAAAGCACCTTCAAGGTGAGCCTGCTTACGGACACAAGGGAGATTGGGGCAACTCTAGGGACTTTGGCTTGTGAGGCCAGGTTTGGGGTGGACTGGATTGTAAACCAGGTTGATGAGTGGAGCTCCTGGGTGAGATTTGACCAAAAAGCCAAAGGAGGGGAGGGAGCCAATGTGAGGATTTCTAAGGATGAGTGTCCAGTGGGGAAGCCCGACACGATCCAGGAAAGGGCAGCAATCGGTCAATGAAAGGTGGTGGGTTGGTCAGCCGGGCAGCTGTGGAAATTGCCCAGGGTGTTCGGGTTCCAGTCTGGAAAGGAAATGGAGAAATCAGACATCATTGATCCCATCATGAAGCAAAGCTTTCGACGTGTTCCCAGTAACTGTGGAGCCTACTGTCAACTCTTATCAATAGCTTTCTGGGGTTAACGAAGCTCATTAATGTTCAGCTTGCTGATAGTTTTTATCATGAATGGGATGTGAGTTTTGTAGAATATGTTTTATTTTCATCTACCAAGAGGTAAAATCTTTTTTGCATGAATGTGGTGAAGTGCAGGGACTGTCCTACGGGATGTCAACGTCACGTTCCTGGAGTGAGCCCGCTCTGGCATGCATCATCCTTTCACCTGTCATTGGGCACGATCTGCAAGAGTTGTCTGAAGAATTTCGGGGCCTGTGCTCATCAGGGAGGCTGTCTGTAGTTGTTCTCTCCTGTTACATCAGCACCAGCTTTTGACATCAAGTAGATGCTGGATTCAGAAGAAGTTCCAAGTGCTCTCTCTGCCTCAATTTTCTAGAAAAAAAATTTGCCAGATTGTGATGTTACTTCCTGAAGTATTTGAAAGAATTCACTGATGAAACCATTTGGATTTTTTGAGGAGATTTTTCATTTTTAGTTGTGGTTCTAACAACAATTCTATCTCCTTAGTAGATTCCACACTACTCAGTTTGCTAAGTTTTCATCTTAGAACTTTGTCATGTCATCTAAACTGCTAAATTTGTTGAAACGAAGTTGTTCACAATAACCTCAAAAATCTGGATGTCCAAAGGATTTATAGTAATATCTTCTATCTTATTTTTGATACCAGTAATATTTTTTCTCTTTTTATCAAATATGGAGTTTATCAAATATGTGTATTTTTTTTAAAATAAGTTTTGGCTTTAGTGTACATTGTTTTTTATTTTGTTGCTTCCTGCCTTTTTCTTTATCTCCTACCTTCTTTAGTCTGATTTACAATGCTTTATCTAGCTTACTGAGACATAAGCTTACCTCATTGATTTTCAATCATTCTTCTCCAACTTTATGCACCAGAGGCTGTGAATATCCTGTGAGCGCAGCTTTGGCTGCATTCCTCGAGGTTAGTGTGTTGTATCCACACTCTCAAATGGTGCAAAATGTTTTCTAATTTTCATTTGGATTTCTTCTTTGGGTGACAGATTTTATAAAAATGTATTGTTTAATTTCCAGGTACCAGGTATTTTCTAGTATTTTTTTTTGCTATTTTCTAGCTTAGTTTCATTGTTTGCTAACATTGCAGTCTATGTGTTTAAAATATTTTGAAAATTGTTAGGGTTATCTCACTGACTAGCTTGTGCTTAATTGCAGTAAATGCTGTAAACTCACTTGAAAAAAAATAGTCGACTCTGTTGTGTTAGGAATGGTCATATATGTTTCAATTGGTGAATTAAACTAATTGTTCAGATATTCTATATCCTCACTGAAGTTTTATTTACTACTGAGAGAAGAGGTTGACATCTGGGTCTACAAATGCAGATTGGCTATTTCTCCTTTTAGTTGTGTCATTATTTTTCCTGACCATTTGGTAGCTGGTTGACTGGATGCCTGCAGATTAGAGTGGCCATGTCTTCCTTGTTGACCTTGACCTCTATCGTCCTGATGTGGGCTTTTTTTGTTTTTGTTTTGTTTTTACCTCCAGTAATGCTTCTTGCCTTAACGCCTGCCCTATCTGGTTAATATAGCTTCTTGAGTTATCTCTGGATTAGTATTTGCAGGGTATATCTTTTCCATCCTTTACTTTCAACTTTACTGTGAATGTAAAGATTAACTCTTGCAGGAAACATTCAGGTGATGTCTTAGAATGAAGTCAGGTACTCTCCCTATTTCCCCTGGAGTATTGAGCCATGAACAGTTGATGAAATTGTTGATGCACTTATTTTTCTTTGTTTAATGTTTTACCCACCTGATTACACTATTTTTTCTCTTTTCTCGTTTTCTTTTGTGTTATGATTTGATTAATTGGATTGCATTTTCTCTCTGGTAATTTGACAGTTATATCAACTCCCCAAAAAGGCTAAAATCATATAATCCTTTAACTCCACTCACCACCCTTCTACTCTGCATTTTTGTGGCCAAAACCACTATTGTTTTGTGTAATCAATGTCCATTTATATCTACTCCATATTTGGCATGCCTTGTGCTATTGATTTTTGCCTGAGTTTCAGTGTTTCTCTCTAGCATCTGGGGAATTCCTATTAGGAGTTCTATCAATTTTCTTCGAATGATCTCAGTGGTATTTTCCATAGGCGTCTTCATTTCATCTCATACTTGAACATCTTTGAACACTGTCTCTGGGAACAGAAGTCAGGCTGGCAGGTTTTGTTTCAGCTCTTACGGGTGTCATTACCTTTAATTCTGGACACTTCCATTTCTGTGATCATGGCTCCACAGCCACCCCTCTTCTGAGGGCGGCACTTCAATCTGATTTGTCTCTTTAGTAGTTTGCTGTAATGTCTTGTGTATGTCAGGAAATCCTGAGCTGTTCCTGTTTCTGTCTCTCTTTGGACATCCAGTCCTGTTCATGATAAACATCAGGGCTGTGTTGACAGTGACTCATCTCTTACTTTCTATTTCTTTCATCTTTTCCTTTTTTTGCTATTTTTTCCTCTCTGTTCTTCAGTTTTCCACTAAACTTTTTTCCACTTTACTAATTCAGGTGTCTGCTGTTTGTGATATGATATAAAACCCATCATTTGAGCTCTTCATTTCGGATATTGTATTTTTCTTTATTTAATGCCATTTTATTTTGTTATTGATTCCAATTTCCTGTTGATATCCTCCATCTTTTCATCTCTTTGGTCTATATTTATTCTACTTTATTGAAATATCGGACATGGCTACTTTAGAATCCTTGTTCTGTATTGTGTAGTTTTTCTCTTAGTTTTCTGTGTGGGAGAAGTTGAGGTCACAGTTTTCAAGATTCAGGCAGCCTTAGGCATGCCTGTTACTATGTATGGAGGTTTTAAAATAGGGCCTAAATTCTATGCCGCCCTCCTGTTGAGCAGCCAAGTCCTGTTCTTTCCCTTCCATCTGTGCAGCTTATAACTGGTCCATGCAGAGCTGAGCTCCGTCTTCTCTGGAGGGTGGAGGGAGGGAAATGCAGATGGGGCGGGTAAGATGCCCCCCCAAAATGAACCATGCCCAACTATGCAAGCATGTTAATTTACTTTGCTCTCAGGCATGGCAGAACCTCTCTGGGTCTCAACATTCCCTGTCCCCCAGCAGCCTCCCCCACAGCCACGGTGAGGAAGGACGTCCCTTGGTGAAACCTCCTCCATGTCCAGGGAGTGGGGACTGGGTCTCCGCTTTCTCCTTACACCGCCCCCCCCAAACCTGGTTGTTCTAATGGCCTCATGGACCTCATCGGCTCCATTGGGAGACCCCTGGCCACACAAGAAATTTCATTTTCCACATTCAATTTCTGTCTTCATTTCATACATCTTGTGAGTTCTCGAACACTACAGGGAAGTGAATGAATGTGTTTTCAGATTCCAGATAAATAAATCAAGAAACCATCTGATGAAACAAGTGACTGGGAGGCAGCATGCATTTCTAGAATGCTGCCTCATTTAAGGACCTTCCAAATAGGATCGAGGCAGGTTTGTACACCTGATCCTCCACCAGGTATCCGGAGAACAGCATTTGCAGCGTAATTCACTGGTAAGTTTTGTCAAAGGGACACTCTGGTTTGTCACACCCAACTGTGGAGGTCCGAGACAATGAGTGGTCACAAAGGGATCTTTTTTTACCTCGGTGTCAACAAGTACTTGAAGTCAAGTACCTACATCTTCCCCACGATGAGCTGATGACCTAACTCCAGGAGAGGTGAGGTTTTGCATCAGGATTCAACCAAAATTTGGGAGGATGGTTACAACCTACCAATACACAATTGGTATTGCAATGGCCAAGGAGTGTTGATGTGACCATTGGCCGAATGCGCCTCTTTAGTTCATGACTAAAGTCACAAAGTATGAATTACTAGGAGTCAGGTGCTAAGGAAATTCAACATGTGAAAGATGCTCCTAATGGTCGGCTAATTCAAATGGACTCTAAGAATTTAATAGAGATGCTACGTGTCATTCCTGCTCCCCACAAGGAGAATGAAGTCTTGATGCAGAGTGATCCCCTAGGTGTGATCACAGCTGTGGCTCTGAGGGTCTTGTGTGGAACAGTTGTCAGCCATTAAATCAATATTAAGGAGGTGTCAAAACACTTAACTTTTACCAAAAACATTACATGTCAAAGACTTATTTTTAAATGTTTGACAGGTATATATTCTTGGCTTTTATCTCAGGCAAGGAAATCAAAATGCCCTGTAACCTGTGAAAGTTGTCATTTCCTTAACTTTTCTTCAATTTACTTCTTTCCAATACTAAGGAGCTAACCCTATTTTTACTATTCTAAATTTTAATAAAAATGGCGTTTATAGACTTTCCATGCCAATCCTGAGTCTTTGAAGTTTCACAGTGAACAGGATTTTGACTTGCTGTAGGTATGAAATGGGTGGTCAGACCCGTCTGGGGTCCTCAACCTTCTGAGCTTTGAAAATCACCTGGGAAGCTGTTTAATCTGAAATCTGGGCCCACCCCATTGACATCATTTGAACTTAATCACATCTGGGAAGACCCCCTCCTCCAAATACAATCCTCTTCAGAGGTACTAGGGGCCAGGACTCCAAGGTAGGAATTTGGAGGAACATAGCACCCTTCATCCTGGCTGGTGTCTCAGCCCCCAGAATTACTGCCTCCTCTTCAGACATTCAGCACCATGGGCCACGTCCCTGTGACCATCCCCTGAAAATTTAAGGGGTCCCCAGGCACTATGTCCCTTAAGGATCAGCAATGCCCCGAGCCAGGCTGTCTTCAGAACGAGAAGGTCATCCGGCATCCTGGGCCAGCACAGGCCTCCTAATGCATAACATTCGGAAATGAGAGAGTCAGTAAAAAATGATGAGTATCTTTGCTATAATCAATGTGCCCTGTTAGTTCTGAAGATCCTGTGGTTTAGTGACCGCTCATCTGAGATGTGTGTTCTGTAAGTGTCCCAGCTGCATGCAGGGTTCAGTGGCTGTGAAACAAGAGGAACTTGGCCTCAATTGTTACTGATGCAGAATCTCATCTTATTTCTTTCTAGCTGCATGTTAATGTGAAGGGTTAGTGTATATAACATCTGACTACC